ACATGGGTGAGTTTTTAAAAAAAGGAGCCAACATGGTGCTTCGATATTCACCGATTGCTGAACCAGAGCAATTATTTCGTATTTCTCAAATTAAGCTGATAGTGAGTTAAATTCCAGATTCCTGCTTTAAATGTTTGAACAAATGAAGAAAAAAATACTTTCTGGTAATGTAAGGATTTTTATTAAACTTCAAATTTGAACAGTATTGGTTGAAATTTAACAAATATTTATCCGTGTGAAAATACCAGAAGAATATGGTATAAAAAGAGTACAGTATATGTAGGAAACTAGTAGTTTAAAATATATTTATATAGGTAGGAAGACAGCTAAAAAAAAAAACCCAGGGAAAGAAACAAAGACAGGGTGCATTTGAACTTTTTAAAATATATTTTTTTAGCTTTGCAAAACACTATTAAGTAAGAGCAAAGTTTAAGAACAAAATCCAACCAATAAACCCTGGTTACCATGCCGACAGGTGATGGGATACAGTGGATGGTCGGCTGGATTCACTCAAAACAAACCAAACGTTGGCGTCTTAACACCTGCTCACGTTTCCTCGCAGACACAGGGTTCCCGCTGGGTCTGAAAAAGCTCTAAAAAGTCTAAAATTTAACTTTTGGAAACTTGGAGGAACTGAGACGTCTGTGGTATCAATGTTAAAAGGGTCACAAACTCTCATTGCTGCTTCAATCAGTCATTTAAAAAATATTCAGGTCAATTTCAGACACATGTCCCAAATACTTGTAATAATAAGAATTAAAAACTCTAAATAAATCAATTTCATGTTATTTATCCCATTAAAGTACCATAAACAAGAAAAAAAATATTTTGCACAAATGTGCAGATTTTTTCAAAAGGGTTAATTTAAAATGAATAAATAAGGAAAAATGTATATATATGTATATATATACAAAATTATTAGAATCAAAGATATTTACAATTACATTTTTGAGATGCCACTTTTTTTTGTTTTTCTGTACATGCTTATAGAGTGAGTGGACAGGAATGCACAGTGGTCTGCCTCCTGCTGGCCAGGGAGAGGCATTGCAACAGTGAACATGCTCCTGCTACTCATTTGTCCTCTTAATTATGGAGTGAATTTCTTCCATTTTTGTTGCGACTAAAGAACACGCTTTGTAAATAACAATAAACAAAACAAGTTTTGTAAATTAAATTCAAAAGATAAGCCATCCAGAAATCACATTTTGAAAAACGTCTTTAAAAAAGGTTTTGAGAACTTTACTGTTTCTTATTTTTTCACTGCATTGTTATTTTTAATTTCTTTTCAGTTCTTTTTTTCA